AGAAACATTTCGGAGAAACATAGTGCTTCCATGTTCATGACTGGAAATGGAGACAGGATGCTTCTACGAAACGTTGGTATCTAGCTACAAGTGCACACGTTTTAAGTACACAGAAGACTATCATCGTAACATTTACCACCGTGATAACCTTAAATTTAAGACGGTTAATAATTTTAATTCTTCACGACATATTAGAACGATTAGCAAATAAAGTAGTATTAGAGGGAAGAATTATATATATTCTTTTGAAAATCTTACTTTTATAAATTTGACTAAATGATCATCCTTGCTGTTGGTAGAGGATACTATCAAAACGGATCTATAAACACACTTTTCAGTTGATACAGGAAAGGGATCAATTCTCAGCTGCTGTGAACACGGAATTTACATTTCAGTGTCTACAGAAACCAGATAATATATTGATAAACTAGGTTATTGTCAGCATATCTAGGACGACTGTTTATATGGATGCAGGGCGATATGTAAGTCTGTGAGAGGAATGAATTCCTAAAAAAAGTGACTTCCTGCGATCTTTGTGATCGGATCGTTTCCGATTTCCGGCACAAGCAGGAAATTTCTTCTTCGCCATTACTTCCACACGCTCTGGAATCCATCCAACTGCATGCGGTGCGTCTTGTCCTGGGGCTGTCGGGCCGAACTGAAGCTAACAACTCGCCTCTACTTAGTACTCTGCTGAAAATGTGTGGAGTTTTAAGTATTTATCCCAACCTGGGGTTATTTACATTCACAACTATTTCAAATAGATTATATTTACACGCTACTTAATATTTAACATAATCACTCATGTTGAAACATAGGACAGCACATGTGCTTAAAAGTCCTTTTTGTATAAATTAATTTTTTTTTAATTCCTGTTTGTGAGATTCGTATGCACGACTGCAAGTGTTTATCTGTAAAACGCGTTGTATTCCTTGATTTGACGTTCTTTATCAGTCTAAACAGTTGTTCACCGCGAATGACAAGGGAAAGTAACATCATATTAAGACATTGTGTTTTTCTGATATCGGGTAACTATTTTTCGTCAAACAGTGTTGCAAGAATATACGCTGGGCGCACAAACATGTTAGCGGATCACGGGTTGAGAATCCTTGAACTGGATTATCCTTTGATACCTGACCAATCTGTAATAAGGTACTTTGTCCTCTCATGGTCGTGTTTTCTGTTTGGTTTCTTAAAGGTTTAGAAGATTTTAAAGTTTAACAAGTTTGGAATCAAATGCTCAATGATAGGGAATAGAGAGATTTAAAATGTGCGGTTACCACGGTAACAAGAAATGACAAAACTGTGTCTGTACGCCATGATAATATGTAGGTGTGGAGATAAAGATAAAATCGGCAAAAATGTTCTTCATACCAAACTCTGTTAAACACTTAATTTTAACCCTTTGAAGCCGAAGCTCATCTAAATAGTATTTAAGATTTCAGTCCGGGGGTCGCAGTGGCCCGCGGTCTGAGAAGTGGGCCTTGTGCCGCTTGGTCGCTGGAACCATGGGTTCGAATCCCACTCAAGCCATGGATGTTTGTCTGCGTTTTTATATGTTGTGCTGTCTTGTGTATAGGTAGAGGCCTTGCGATGGGCCGATCCCTCGTCCAGGGAGTCCTACCAAATATTCATAGATCAAGCCAACGGAAAGTTGTGACCCGTAAAAGGGTACCGGAAAATGTAAATAGCTCAGCTGCTGTGAACACGGAATTTACATTTCAGTGTCTACAGAAACCAGATAATATATTGATAAACTAGGTTATTGTCAGCATATCTAGGACGACTGTTTATATGGATGCAGGGCGATATGTAAGTCTGTGAGAGGAATGAATTCCTAAAAAAAGTGACTTCCTGCGATCTTTGTGATCGGATCGTTTCCGATTTCCGGCACAAGCAGGAAATTTCTTCTTCGCCATTACTTCCACACGCTCTGGAATCCATCCAACTGCATGCGGTGCGTCTTGTCCTGGGGCTGTCGGGCCGAACTGAAGCTAACAACTCGCCTCTACTTAGTACTCTGCTGAAAATGTGTGGAGTTTTAAGTATTTATCCCAACCTGGGGTTATTTACATTCACAACTATTTCAAATAGATTATATTTACACGCTACTTAATATTTAACATAATCACTCATGTTGAAACATAGGACAGCACATGTGCTTAAAAGTCCTTTTTGTATAAATTAATTTTTTTTTAATTCCTGTTTGTGAGATTCGTATGCACGACTGCAAGTGTTTATCTGTAAAACGCGTTGTATTCCTTGATTTGACGTTCTTTATCAGTCTAAACAGTTGTTCACCGCGAATGACAAGGGAAAGTAACATCATATTAAGACATTGTGTTTTTCTGATATCGGGTAACTATTTTTCGTCAAACAGTGTTGCAAGAATATACGCTGGGCGCACAAACATGTTAGCGGATCACGGGTTGAGAATCCTTGAACTGGATTATCCTTTGATACCTGACCAATCTGTAATAAGGTACTTTGTCCTCTCATGGTCGTGTTTTCTGTTTGGTTTCTTAAAGGTTTAGAAGATTTTAAAGTTTAACAAGTTTGGAATCAAATGCTCAATGATAGGGAATAGAGAGATTTAAAATGTGCGGTTACCACGGTAACAAGAAATGACAAAACTGTGTCTGTACGCCATGATAATATGTAGGTGTGGAGATAAAGATAAAATCGGCAAAAATGTTCTTCATACCAAACTCTGTTAAACACTTAATTTTAACCCTTTGAAGCCGAAGCTCATCTAAATAGTATTTAAGATTTCAGTCCGGGGGTCGCAGTGGCCCGCGGTCTGAGAAGTGGGCCTTGTGCCGCTTGGTCGCTGGAACCATGGGTTCGAATCCCACTCAAGCCATGGATGTTTGTCTGCGTTTTTATATGTTGTGCTGTCTTGTGTATAGGTAGAGGCCTTGCGATGGGCCGATCCCTCGTCCAGGGAGTCCTACCAAATATTCATAGATCAAGCCAACGGAAAGTTGTGACCCGTAAAAGGGTACCGGAAAATGTAAATAGAAGAAATAGAAGAATAATTCAGTCCGTACCGCAAAAAAAAAAAACGCTGCACTTCACTATTACAGTGATTAACTTATTAATACTGTGAAACGAAATATTCGCTGTTTACAACGAAATTCATACCTTAACTACCAAGTGTTTCGCCTACGAAATTTACAAAATACGACAAAGTATTCAGCGACTTCAAACTGCAACGAACATACATGGCTATACGCCATTTCGTTTTTGTTAATAAATTGTTCGTAACAGAAAGACAGCACAATTATAAACCTGTATAAAATTAGTTATTATTATAGTATACGGCCTGGTATTATGTTTATATTGCTCTTCTTTAAGTCAACTAAATAAAGGACACACGGCTAAATTTTGAACTCAGGGCGGCCCACATTTTCAGAACATTAGCGTGTGTGTTTTATGCGTAGTTTGTGCTTTATTTGAAACCCAATATGAAAATATCTCACAAGCAGCGCTTCATTTAGCAATTAAAAGTCATGTCACCACTAAGATTCACCACCAAGGTACATTTATACTTGCATTATCTCAGCTGACATTCATTACTATATATTATATAGGAAAAGAAAAAATAATGTAATTCTGTATTTGATTCATTATAAATGGGAATAATAAATGAAATCGCAGTGCCTTCGACTCATGATTTATTTATTTCTCATTCCTTTCTGCACGCAAGCTGTATATTACATTCGGGCTTGATATTAGCCAGACTGGTTTATGCTTACCACATGCAGTAAATCTTCAAACATATTATTAGTCTTGATTTAATCGTAACGCTAATATATTTGAATGACATATACAGCCTCTTTATATACCAGGCTGATTAGAAGTTGTTACTTGTATATCTAAAACGTGACATCAATATATCACTCTTTGCATGTTGTAAGAAAATCTTTTATTAAAGCATGTTAAATACTGTGCACAGAACAGTTTATTTTCCATACAGATATCTGAGTTTGTCTTCAATCGTGTTGTAACACTGGATAATCATACTGAAGTAACAGTCTGTGATGTGATTTGTTGGATCCCATCATGGTCACTGCGAAAGGAACAGAACGTCCCTTACGATTCACCCACGCGTTGAATTTTGATGAGCAGGTAGTGCAGCATACGTGTGGAGCCCAGTTCTTTTCCTGATCGCCTACTTTACACCCAAAGAACAATTCGTAAGCATTTGTATATGACTTAGTTAACGTACACTCTCTTGAAGCAAACGTAACTTCTCCACATACGTAACAGAAGTTATTCGGACTATTCATACAACTACGGGGCATATTAATGTTACACAACACAAATACTGCGCAAAAAGTAGGAATATCACAGAGGACCGTTAACTGAGAACAAATCACCCAGTACCTGGCCGGATTCGAAGTCGTGGTACTCTAACTAATATTAATGTAGAGTAACTCGTTAATATGAGACCCTAACCGTAAATAGAAAACAGGAGCCAATCGACAAAATTATTATATGATTTTCGTGTTCAGCAGCCTGAAATTAATCAAGATTGGTTAGGTTCGTTTTCATAATATTTTACGTGTTGACCAGTGTAATGTCTACATACCCTCATAAATGTCAAACGAGGAAGATATTAGAAGACACCAGTGATATGAAGAATTGGGGGGGGGGGATGCAAACTTTCCTACCTTCAAAATTATTCTAGATCGAGTGGCGGTACAGATTCTGCAGCAATGTTGAAAATATTTTCTTTTTCGCAAGCTGACTGTGGTGTCCGGTGCACAAAATAAATTGGACTTCTATTCTTATGTATTGGAAGAGTAAGCGACATGGAAACTTAACTTCTAGACATCTTAAGTACAATAAACATATCAAAAAAGTATTGGCAATAGATTTTTGAGGCTCGAACAGAAGGAGAAGTGTAACCTGGAAAATGGTGTGAGTTTGAATGGGAAATGAAGGTCCACAAGAAAACAGCGTCTTTGCAAATGCCCTATAGCAATGCAACGAGGTCAGATTTTAAGACGTTTTATATTTAATTTGAGCCTTTTTGTTTTTAAAAGCTATCTACAGGTGAAAGTACAGAACTTAACGAGTTCCCCAAATGTGAACACACTTTATAGTTTTAACACAAATAACTGTCAGAACTATAGACCAATAATGTGTTTGTTCTTGGAGATAAGTGTTCCCCTTTTTATTACGTATTAGTGTAAACGAAAGAATTTGTTACCTGAAACATAAACATATATGCCTTCTGCCTCTCACATTCGTCTTACATTTTCATCAATAGCAGAAATTTCTTCCTTCCATTTGTCCCTCAGTGTGCTCAGAGTTTATGAATTTGACTTTTTAAATCGCATGATAGGTGGAGACGCTATGAAATGTTTCAAATACATTAAGTGGTTTCGGAAGTGGAAAATTTAGACTGGGAGTCAGAAAGTCAGAGAGGCAAACATATACAGATGTTTCATCTCAAATTTATGCAATATATACGACTAATTTGAATAACTGAGAATAATAACGAAACTAATTTGACATATATCTTAATTTAAAATAATATTCGGCATACATATATCTGCCACATCTTATTAGAACTACATTATAAGTTTTCTGTTTTTCCTCATAAATACCAAGAAGAATAATTCACCTTTTCAAAATTTATAATATGAACGAAATGAAAGATTGTAATTTAATTTCACATGCTGCTACAAAATATATAAACGTTATCACGAACTATATTAAAGTAGACACTATAAAGACCGCATATATCTTTTAGTAATCCCAAATCGATATTTTTGTATACCATCTTTAAGTAGTTGGTAATTTTGGACCATAACAAAACTTTGTATAAACGCTTTGTGCGAGGGTGTAGGTTGAATTCATCAGGCTGAAGATAGAGGTTATTTGCTGGCTCTTATGAATAATCGGGTTCCATAAAAAATGAAGATTTCTTGACCAATTAAGTGATTATTAGCTTCACAGGGAGGACTCTATTCCATGAACCTAGTAGTGTTCCTCCTATCTCTATTTTTAAAGTGAGAATTATTAGTATGTAAGTAAGTGACGTAATATTGACTAGCCTTTGTAATATAATACATATTTCTGTTTGCACCAGAATTGGATAGGGATTTTCGTGTTATAGTCTTCTACCCAGTTTCTGCACAGACATTAATTTATTCTAATTAATGAAAGAAGTTTGAAAAAGAAATTATTGAAAAACTTTGCGTAACGGAAATGTAATTAGCACCATTTGATTTATTTTATTTTGAATTTTAAAGTCTTTCCTTCACATACCGTTGCATTATTCACTTTTGAGTCACCTGTGTGTCTGTATATGTATATAAACATGGAAATTTTACGTTTATAATTGATTATCACTTAATATTAATATTATTAATATGGGTAATATAAGTATAAAACCCGACTTAGACATTAACATTTCTCTTCATTGAAATTAATATTCTCTATCATTACAACCTAAAATATTTTATGATTTTTACATAAATATTAAGTTGAACAATTCAGATTTGTGGTACTCACAAAGTGTATATGATTTAAATACATTATGACATTATTCTTGAGGGCAAATTCCACTTTTGATGATGTTACTCCTCTGCTGTCATGGTCATCAAATTATAAATAATATTTTACATAAATAGAATATTGTAATACTCTCAATTTGCAGGCCTATTTATATTGCATTTACTCGGTATATGTAACTGAACCGTAGAACGTTTTATGGATTGCTTCAAGTTTCCACATTTGCTTTGTAAAAGAATTACTCCTTGTTTCTTTCGTGGCATTGCACGGGTCAGTATGGTATTTATAACTTACCACAATTTCGGTACCATAAGATATCCAGGTACCTCGTTTGTTTGTTACACGTATTTTTAAAGTAAGTCTTAGTGCTTGTATAAAACTAGAGAGTTGTTCATTTCACCACAATCATTACGAGTGTCTTCTTTTCCTCACGACTGCACATAAAATAACGCGTCTGCGCAAATAAAGCGGACATCTTGTTCTTGAGGCATACTCCACGTATGATTATAAATCTTGACTGTGCATGAAGATTTGCCTTGTGACGTGCTAATGGTGTTTAATCGCGAAGCTCGCCGCAAAGACGAGGACGAGGACAAATTGACTCGTAGCCCTTGGACACCCCGTGCTCCCCCAGGTGTCATGCTGGACCGCAGCTTGTTTCTCACCTGCGGGCACGAGAATAACATTATAGATCTGTGATCTAGTAACAATTTATTGTGATTAATCCAGTTATGTTGTTAATTGTTCAGACTGGTCTCCCTATGGCGGCAGAGGTTGTGGGAGGAAGCGGTCGTTGCATAATTTAAGCTGATATCCCCTATTTCTCTGCAAGGTCTGAGTAAAATCATGAAGATAGTTAAAATATCCTATTTCTGGGCCGTGAGTTAAGCGGGGAGCTTTCGAATGTGAAGGAAAGGTAACCAGTCTTCCACTGAGTTCGGTGTGGATTACGTACTTGATTTGATGACTTTGATCAGTGATCAGAAAATTAATTTAAATCCAGATGGAAATAAAAGGAACCCATGTTTGCGTCACTCAAATGACAAGTTTGTGTCTGAACTTAAGTATCTGCTTTTAAAATCTTGGCGGACCAGATATGTTCGTTTCCTTAATTTTCTCACTTACCGCTCTCAAAAAAGATCTCATAGATGCAATCCGGGCAGAGTTAAAACAATATTTTGCTCAGGGAAAGTTTATATCAAGAACAAATGACGTAAAGAAGAATTTATTCAAACAGGATAAATTAGTGGATCCCTTTTTTGTGAATATTTTAAGAATATTAAAAGAGCAATGTTTGCGAATTCATTTGGTTGCGACAGGGATTTGAGTGATCCCTTCAAATACAGCAGAATAAGAGGCTATTGATAAATTTTCAGGAACTGAAATTTTGTAGTTCTGGCATTTCAGTCGAATTTCACAGCATAAATGGTGAGTCCATGAAACATAAGCTGTTTTTCATACTGTGCGCACAACATTCGGAAGAAATTGTATGTTCTTTCCTTTGTTTCAATTCCTATCCCATTTCAAGTCACCCACAGGCACGGCGTGCGTGTATTTATGGTTTTTTAAAAGGTTGAAGTTGTAAATGCAAATTTTGTGAAGTTATGTTCACAACTATTTCTTTGTAGTATGGCTTAAAATTTGATTATCGAATATCGACAAATTCTTCGAGTTTATTTTGGAAAACCTCCCTTGATATTAATCGGACTCACAGCTCTTAGCATTTCTGTTTTGTGTTCGGAAGATCTAGTGTTTGAATCTTGGCTAGGAAACCAACTCCCAACGTATTCGGCGACTTTAATAAAGTTTTCAAGGGCTATAAGCCGTGTTATTTGGTTAGACACCACAGATCTCTCAAATATTATAAGTCAACCCTGATATACGACAGGGGTCGTGCGTGAAACGTTGGTGATTCTCAGCCAACTGACACGGCTGATATCCAAAGGAGATTCATTAATGTGTGTCTCAGATTTCATATAGACCTGCTGTACCATTTTTTGCTTGTAATGTACGTACTCACTCCACAAAAATAAGGAGAATTTATCTTAAAATACCGAGCGACCGTCGCTTTGCGAGTTCTTACCTATTTCCGCTACAAAATCTTCCAGTCTGATTCTTCGCTTTATAAATGTGGTGATATTAAATGCAAGTCTGACAATTGGCATTTCAGTTGTCCCAAAACGCCGTTCATATTAAATACTCGTAAAGTAATCAACAGTGGTTTTACTCAGTAAACGTTTTTGTATTAAATCTGCATCAGAGACTAGGCAATGTCGAAGAGCATTGCAGTAAATATGTGCAGGTTTAATTTGACAGTATTATGAAAATGGCATATTCGCTTATGTAGCTAATAGCTTACCATTCAGTACATGGACGTGTGCCCGAACGGAAGAATGCTTGGATAGCGAACAACTGTATGTACCGCTGTCACTCTTTGCAGCTCTGGGAATCACAAGACGGCTTACCGTTGTTCCACCTTTCGTCTCACTGCCAACATAGAAATTAAAACAAGTGACGTTTATTCTTACCCTAGACTTTAATTTTTATTTTCGTCGAATAGTAAGGATTTTCGTCAATAATCTCATAGAAATATGTTGAAGTTAGAGGCATGAAATAAGGCTTTTATAGGCAGGGTAAATAATTACACTATCTGTGTAATAATATTTGACGTAGGGAAGAAAGTATTAGGATAAAAGTGTTTTCTTTGGTTACAAAAATTACAGCGTGTTGGAGGCTGATTCTACTTTCATCATCATCGTAATAAACTAAGAATAAACAAAACAAAAAATAAATTAAGTTAATTTATTATTAAACAACGCCACATGTAACTTTGTTTGGGAATTTTGGAGAATAAATTAACACGTTAGAGGAGAATCGAAATTCTATGTGTATTTTATAAAAAGGGTGAACTATATCGAAGTTGCAGGTTTCCTAAGTGAACACAGCACAATCGTGCCATTACAGTCTACTGCAATTGCAACTGTTCCATGAGACACAAGAAGCCATGACACAGCAACTTCGTAGCATTTCAAACAGCAGTCGCTAGATGTCCCAGAACATCCGACAAGTTTTGCTTTGGTTCTGTATGCCTGCCTGTATTGTTGTGGTCGCAAACACAAGTTGCGAATTGGGCATATTCAGGGAAAACAAAGCTGAACGTGTCTATTGTTTGCAAAGTCTGATATAATTGTTGTTGTTGTTATTATAGACCTGTGTGAGGATTCACCGTCACTTATACGTAATGCTGGCAAGTATTATGTAGTTTTAGAACAATGACAAATTGTGTGTTATGTATGACATCATGTTTAACTTTGAAACTGTATAAAGTGACCATGAAATTTCCACGCGACGCACTACTGAATAATGTTGCAGCAAAGTTAGACCATTTCTAGGGGGGGAAGTCAAGATAAAAAGGCAGTTGAGCTTGTTTTCAAAAGTGATTTTGGCAGCACTGAGCAAGGCAGGGGAGGAGGCGAAAGCAAGGAACTGGAATTTTGTTAGCCTACTGATTTTGGTGTTATTATATTGTGACTAGTATTATTTTGTGATGCGGTCAGCATAGAGCATTGTTAGAATCCGGAATAGAATATGACCGACCAAAGATTCGATTTCTGTAGTTGCAAAGTGTGAAGTTAATTCCAGAATTGCTGCTTACTCTGGCGATAACTTTATGAACTAGAGGAAAGCGATCGTAAGATACAAAGGAGGGTTGAGTTGTGTTTTATCGCAGAAATTTCGATATGATGAATATTAAACAAAATTATTTATGCTTATATATGAAGTGCAGTGATTTGTGAAAAATCACAAAAAATATATCTGGAAAATATGTGTACTGTGTTTAATGCTCACCACATAGATTTGTGGTCTTATAGTACGATGAATTACAAAATAAATGTAATTTATCTTCTGGCAGAACACTGAAAACCAAACATATTTTAGAAGTACTAAAAACACAAATTGTATGATTTAAATTTTAATATTGAAATTTCCTGTACTCCAGGTATCATCATTATACCGCCTTGACTCGGAAACTAAGGTCTACTTTGTGAGAACAGAGTCCATTTAAGTAAACTCATCTTAATCCTTGGACGAGAGATTCGACCGAACTTGCACCTTTGCAATCTTGTTTTCAAATATATTAACATATTTATGTTCTGTTTTTTGCGTTAAGAGAAAATTTTTGTAACTTGCTCTTCAAAGTATTAATGTCAGAACTCATGAATAGTCATAAAGTAAGGTTAGATAGAAACACGGAAATCGAAAGGAAACTGGATGCGACTTCCATTAGACAGAAAACTGTAACCTCATGGCTCCTACGCTGTGAGTCCATCCATCATCGTGCTCTAAGCTGTTGTTACGTGGGCGAAATATCCCGCGCTCCAGCCAGGAGCATGAGATTGGCTTTGAGAGGCTGTAAGAGTTCAGTAATTAACTAGAATTCTGTTGTTTCGTTTGGAACCGAGGTGTCAAGGTTAAGTCATCGCCTGATGCAACGTTATAAAATTTACTCAGCTGCGATAAATACACACAAAAGTATGACGATTATTATAACGAAGTGAGCTCTATATTATAGAAATGCCGTCTATTTTAAATTTTACCAACACATAAAAGAGACATTTAATTTCTTAGTGTGTTTAGCAAGAATCCGGCAGAATAGACTGTATATATTATCGGATGGAATGATATTGTAATTATGAATTGGGAAGATACTGGAAGGAAGCTATTGCGACAAGTGATATTTGTCTTAAACGACTGAGAAAAACCATGAAAATTTGATGTCAGGACAGCTAGTCTTTTTGCCGAGAATTTTAACTCGAGATCTCGGACACGATACGCCCACTTCTCCTTAGTTGCTCCCTCACACGAGATTCTTGAGCCATATTTTTGTACGAATTTCTTGTAGGATTTGAGTTTTTCACGGCGGTGAGTTTAAACATATCTGTCTTCTGGGTTGTCGGACCCTGTAGTCTCATAGAAACTTTACGCATTTCTTGTTTCCCCCATGCATGCTTATATCGTTTATATTACACGACTGCTTCCTTCCAATTCCTTTCCAATTCATATTTTACAATTATACTCTCATTCGACACTATATAGGATGAGTTACTGAAAATTCGTCGTTGTATATACTATAAACAAATAAATAATCTATCTACTTACGGGTGGAGTTTCCGTATTAATCATGTTGGCCCGGTTGAAACTGTTGGATTATATTTTTATGCTACTTTTTAATAATTAAATCACTGTCGACATACTTTAAACGATATACTGACCTGACGGGCGATGTGGTGACCTTATCTGGAAGCTTGCTGCCGTCTTTAGTCCAGGTCACTTGAGAAGAAGCTGTCTGCTCAGCGGACGTTATAACACGACATGTAAGTTCGATAGTGCTGCCAGTCTTGTAGTATCGGTCGTGCACTGAGTGACCATGTTCATCAACAACTTTTAGCTCCGGTGCTATAAGAAACAATTAAACATGTCAATACTGATATGTGTATTAGCGGGTGAAGTCGGATTGAGCCAGCTTTCAAGGTAATTAAGAAACTCCGTGTAATGTGGGTAATTATTCATTTGTTCACGCTTCGGTTCAAGTATTGTTTGTTGAAGATATAAAAATGTAATTAAAGAAGTTTCTATTTATCCCTCAGAAGCAAAAATAACTCTAAGGATTAGAGCTGTCATCGAGAAAATATATCCCCAAAAGAAATTCCACCTTTTATGAAATCCGAATGTCTGTTACAAAGTTCATAAGATTCCGCAATTGGACATTGTTGAAGTTCCGTTTTTTCATTACACGACTTTACTTAGGTCTATCAGCTTTAAAAACTGCCGTGTCATTTTTGAATGAGATGGTAAATTAGAAAATAATATCGAAAAAATGGTAACTTTTACCGCAAAGTTTAAACGGTTGTTTGGAACGTAAGTGAAGTAGAACAACTGAGAACATGATAACAGTTTGTTAGCCCCTTTTGAAATACGAAAGGCATTTGTTTTGACAAGCTCTTGACAGTGTAGTTTACGCTGTTTTAATGCATACTTTTCACTTGGTTTGGTCCCATACTGAAATCGCACATTTGATAACCTCATTTACTTCCGCTGAGCATTTTTCTCTGTAGAGAATCATGTTTTAAATTATATTCCTAACTTAACAGTGGGATTATGAAATTTTAATATTCAGCTCTAAACGAGAGTAATATTTTGCATTAAGGGGAGCATCAGACCACATGAAGTCCCTATTGAAACGTCATGCTGTCTGGTGGGGATATAAAAAGGAAATTGTGAAGGGAGATCTCTTTGTACGTCTGAGAGCAATATTATTAGTTAATAACTGTACTGAACACTTTAAGGTAGAATAGAAGTCCCTGTTTAGTAGATGACATCCCTGCTTGATACATGGAAAGCACTGCTTCAAATTTAGGCCCGGAGACTAGCTTCGCGAATTGACAATTTTCTGTTTTTCTCGGTCCCTCCAGGAAAATGCTGGAATAGTTGGAATATCTAAAATTAGGCCAAATCGCTTCCTTATACATCCTTTGCATTTAGTTTTTCACTAATCCTGCACTTAGACGCTGTGTAATCTCAGATATTGAGAGCTCTATAAATAAAAACGTAATAAATACAGTTTTATCAGAACTTCTTTGATCATTTGCAGATCTGTGTGTTTTGACCACAGACCAACACAATTTTTAAAAATATACTCTAGTGAACTATGATAAATGGATGTGTAGAATATAACAAAGTCAGTGTGGAAATATATTCTGAAGTAATGTGAAGTGTAGTGGCAGTCAGGAACATAACGATAGGAAAATTTATTTGTCTTTAATAATTTACAGACTTCCAGGAGGAAAATTGTTTCACAATAATATGACAAAACTAAATTATTCTATTCTGGTGAGTGCCATTGTAATCATGGATTATAGGATAATTGCAGCCTGCAGTAACAATTAAGTATAATGATGCTCTGTACAAATGAGAGTATGTGCACCTCTGATACTGAACATCGTATCTGAATATAATTTTGTGATAATACTAGTTTTCCCATACTTTACTCTGATATCACATATAATTTTGTGGATGTTATCAAATGTTTCAACATTTATACATGAAATAATATATACCTCTTTTGGATCTACATCATTTAACTGAAACATTATCTTATGTGGCAAATATTTAAACACATACAAAGAAAAATCCTGCTATAATATTATTTTATGAGAGGGAATAACTTTTCAGTTGACTATGCAGAAGGCTTACACTATATTCACATGCAGAATGTTGGAAGCGCCGCGTCTACTGGCATTCATTTTGTTTTCCTTTCGATATGAGGAAAAATATCGGCTAATCGTTATATGAAAACAAGCAAGACTGTGACAACAAGATTATAAATAGATCGTGAGAAGAAATCAAATGTAAATTAATACTGATTATTATTAAAATATGTTTTTACTTGAAAATATATTCGATGATAATTTTATTTTTTATGGGCCGGGATACCTCAGTCAGTATAATGACTAACTACAGTCTGGGTGATCGGGGTTCGATCCCCGATGGGGGCAGAGGATTTTTCGTCTAACCTCTGCGTCCAGACCGGCTCTGGGGCCCACCCAGCCTCCTGTCCAATGGGTACCGAGGTCTTTTTCCGGGGGTAAAGCGCGGCCGGGGCGTGATGCTGACCACCCAAGAAAGAGTAGGAGCTGTACCTCCACTCCCCCCATGTGCCTGCATGGCGTATAGTGGAACAGCTTTACTTTTTAATCTTATTTGTGCATAATAGTCGCCTAAGAAGTGTTTGTTAATATGAATAGTGATATGATATAGAATTTAAAAGGTAAATTAAAAGTAGCTTTTAAATGTATACGTGCCATTAATGTGCTTTTTTCAACGAGATATTCTTTGAATGATTTAAACAGTGGTATTAGTCTACATATTTTATAACATTAAGAAGAAATAAGTTTTTGTCTCGATACAAGATTTGCGTCACTAATTAGGTCTCGTAACAGCAATGGAATTACGTAAAATTACTAAGAACACTTCTGTAAGAATCTTGTTTCTATGCCGCAGTGACTGTGGTTAGTAAGATTTCGATTTTTTTTTCTGCGTCGAGTACGAAAATTAGTCTTCTAAGAGTTTGCACCGTGCAGTCTTGTATATGTATACCGACATTTCAGAGGTAATTGCTATATTATCAGCTGAGTCAGTATGTCGAACCTCGTTCGATTGGTTTCTATCTTAACCTATTCGTCGCGCGTGCCTTA